TGCTTTGGAATGTTGATTCTTTGCAACCATGAGCATGGTATATTCTTCCATTTGTTAATATCTTCTGTTATTTCTTTTCTTAGGGTTTTGTAATTTTCTTTATAGGGATCCTTCACTTCTTTTGTTAGGTATATTCCTAGTTATTTAATTTTTTTGAAGCTACTGTGAAGTGAATTGTGTCCTTGATTAACTTATCAACTTGGCTGTTATTGGAATACACAAAGGCCACTGATTTGTGGATATTGGTTTTATATCCTGAGACACTACTCTGTTTTTTTAAAATCACTTCCAGGAGTCTTGTTGTTGAGTTTTGGGGGCTCACTTGTTTTTCCATTGTTGTGTTACTTTACTTAGATGAATGGTCTCCAGTTCCTTCCAGGTTATTAGTAAAGATAATAGATCACCATTTTTTAATGGCTAAGTAGTCTCCACAGTCTACATATACCACATTTTATTAATCTATTCATGTATTGGTGGGCACCTGGGTTGTATCTAAATCTTTGCAATTGTGAATTGCAATAAATTGCTACAAAACTGTGAGTACATATGTCTTTTTGATAAAATGACTTTTCCTCTGGGTAAATACCTACTAGTGGGATTGCTGGATCAAATGGTAGGTATACTTTTAGTTCTTTGAGGTATCTCCATGCCACTTTCCATGGAGGCTGTACTAGCATGCAGTTCCACCAACAATGTATAAGAATTCCTTTCTTTCCATATCTATACCAGCATCTGCTGTTTGGGGCTTTTTGATAAATGCCATTCTCACTGGAGTTAAGTGATATCTCATTGTGGTTTTGATTTGTATTCCTCTGATGATTAGAAGTGTTGAACATTTTTTCATGTGTTTGTTGGCTATTACCATAGGTTCACTTGAAAAGTTGCTGTTCATGTCTGTTGTTCACGTTTTGATGGGATTTTTGATTTTTTTTCTTGCTGATTTGCTTGAGCTCTTTGTAGATTCTGGTTATCAGCCCTTTATCAATCTGTGGCTTGCAAATATTTTCTCCCATTCTATAGCTTGTCTATCTCTTCTGTCATACTTTACATATTTTATATGTCTGTCTAATTGTAATCTATTCACTCTAAAGTAGGTATCTTGTTTTGTTCCTATCTATATTTCCAATGCCTAATACAATGCTTTCCCTACAGAAACTCTCAATAATGGTTTGTGTTTGCTGAAAGAATAAACAAATGACTAAAGGCAGTCTTTATCTCTTGAAGGTATAAATTATAAAATACTCAGACTATTTTCACATTCAACAGAAAGTGTCAGGGGAGAGGGAAAATGGGTAAAGAATAGACAAGATAATAAAAACTGAGTATATTTGCACATAAAAACAACTTTTAACATAAAACTGAAGCCATGGAATAGATAACTCACTTAAATTATAATTGGCATAGTAGGACTTTCATTTATACATTGGAAATATAGTCTCTAAAATATAGCAATTAAGCTTCATGGTTTAGTTATGGTTCTGAAGGCAATAATATGTTTAGTCCCAGAACTTGATTCTATTTCCTAAGTACTTCTTTTCTAATGAAAAATCATATTTTTTTAGCTTTTAAAAATTTCCCTGAGTGTGATCTGTCACCAAATATGCTGCTTTTACAAGTCTTCTAGTAATTGAGACTTAGATAATTTCCCCTGAGTTTGCTGTACTCAGAGGCAATTATTAGTGATGGAAGTGTGAAGCAACTTTATGTAAGATTTGCTAATAAGACATTGCAAAATCATTCATTAAGAGATAATCAGTTATTTTTATGAGAAATTATCCCACATAAGATCTCTCTTCTTTACATTCTGATTTGCAAAATTGAATGATTCAGAATGATAAGTATGACTAGAAGTAGTGAAAGTGTATGCAGTTGGTATTATTCCTATCAGTTAACAAAGATAATAACAAAAAACGATTCTTTTACTATGTAAAATTACATGCAAAGTGCTTTTTAGGGGGCTATCTAAATTAAGCCACATTAACAATTCTCTAAAATAGGTGAGATTATTAATACTATCTCCATTATATGCTTAATAAAATTTT